TATGGTTTTGGTGTTATACTTAAAAAGTCATCACTAGACCCATGGTCACATAGATTTTTCCTCAGTCTTTTTTATGCCCTTTTTAAAATTATTTTTTATTTTGATTTATTTTATACATTTAATCACTATACATTGTTTGGCTTGTCAACTGAATTTACCCAACATGAATACACTTCCACCAGTCCAGTTGAAGATACAAACCATGTTATCATCAACAGATAATAATCCATTTTTGCCTCCCATAAATGTCTTGCCTCTCTGTTTTTCTCCTTAATTTCTTTCCTTACACTCTCCTCCTTCTCCCACCTTCTTCCCTGATTATTTCCAATATTCACAACCATTTTCAATGATTCTATATCCTCTAATCTTTCAATTTCCACTATAGAGTACAGACAGTCAGTATATATTAAGTGGAGACACAATGTCTTTTTTTCATAGCCTGGCTTGCTTCACTCAGCAGTAAATCTTCCGTATTCGTCCACTTTCAATTAAATGCCAGGGTCTTATTTTTTTATGGCTGAGTAGTATTCCATAGAGTATATGGGCCACACTTTTTCAATCTATTCATCTGTTTATGGACATTTGAGTTGGTTCCATGTCTTAGCAATCATGAATAATACCACAATAAATATAGCTGTGTGAGCACATCCCCAACTGAATGTTCTCCTGTCCTTTGGGTAGATATCCAGGAGTGGAATTGCTGGATCATACGGCAGTTCTATTTGAAGGTCTTTGAGGAACTTCCTAATTGTTCTCCACAGTAGCTGGACCAATTTATATTCCCACCAACAATGAAAGAGTTCCCCTTTCACCACATCCCTGCCAGCACTTATCATTTTTGTTTTTTAAGTCTTTGCCATTCTGACTGGGGTTAAGTGGCATCTCATTGTGGTTTTGATTTGCATCTCCCTTATGATGAAGGACATTGAACATTTTTTCATATGCTTTTTGGCTGTTTGTATGTCTTCCTTAGAGAGTTGTTTATTCAGCTCATTTTCCCATCTTATAATTGGGTTAATCATTTTCTTCTGGGTAAGCTGCTTGAGTTCCCTGTGTATTCTGGTCATCAGCCCCTTATCTGAGGCATAGTTAACAAGAAACCTCTCCCATTCCAAGGGTTTTCAATTCACACATTCACACTAATTACTGTGTCCTTTGGTGTGCAGAAACTTCTTAATCTGATGTAATCCCACCTGTCTATTTTGGGAATTATTGCCTGTGCTTTGGAGGTTTTTCTTAAAAAGTCTTTGCCTACCCCAATGTCTCCTAGAGTTTCCCCAGTGTTTTCCACCAGAAGTTTTATAGTTTCCAGTTTTAGGTTTAGAGCTTTGATCCACTTTGAGTTGATTTTTGTTAATGGTGACAGATAGGGGCTCAGATTCATCTTTTTGCAGGTGGATACTCAGTTTTTGCAGCACCATTTGCTAAAGAGGTTTTCCTTTTCCCACTGGATTGATTAGTTCCCTTTGTCAAAGATTGGTTAGCTGTATGTTTGAGGGTTTATTTCTGGGGTCTCTACTCAATTCCATAGTTTTTCATGTCTGTTTTTGTGCCAATACTATGTTGTTTTAATAATTACAGCTTTGTAATATATTTTGGGGTTAGGAAGAGAGATGCCACCCACTCCACTCTTCTTGTGCAGGATGGCTTTGGCAATATGTGTCTTTTATAATTCCAGAAAAATTCTATGATCGTCTTTTCTATATCTGTGAAGAATGTGTCTTGTAATTTCATAGGGATTGCATTAAACATGTACTTTAATTTGGGTAGGATTGCCATTTTGATTATATTATTTCTTCCAATCCAGAAACATGAGATGTCCTTCCAGTTTTTTCCTTTGCAATTTCTTTTTTAATATTTTCATAGTTTTCTTTATAGAGGTCCTTAACTTCCTTGGTTAGTTTTATTCCTAGGTATCTTATGCTTTTTGTGGCTATGGTAAATGGGATTACTTTCTTCAGTTCTGTCTTTGTCTGCTTGTTATTTGTATATAGAAATGCTAAAGATTTTTGTAAGTTAATTTTGCATCCTGCCACTTTACTGTATGTATTTATTGCTTCAAGAAGTTTCTTGGTGGATACTATTGTGTTTTCTATGCATACAATCATGTCATCTACAAACAGAGATAATTTATGCTCTTCTTTCTCTATTGGAATGTCTTTTATTTCATTCTCTTGTCTGATCGCATTGGCTAGGACTTCTAGTGCTATATTGAATAGGAGCGGAGAAAGTGGGCAGCCTTGACTTGTACCAGTTTTTATTGGAAAAGCTTTTAGCTTTTCTCCATTCAGTATGATGTTAGCTATAGGTTGTTCATAGATGGTTTTTATTATGCTGAGAAACAATCCTTCTATGCTGATTTTTACTGAGAGTCTTAATCATGAAGGAATGTTTTATTTTGTCAGATGCTTTTTCTGTATCGATGGAAATGATCATATCGTTTTTATCTTTCTTTTTGTTAATATGGTGTATTACATTTATGGTTTTGAAAATGTTGAACCACCCTTGCATTCCTGGAATAAAGCCTACCTGGTTGTGATGAATAATCTTTTTTATATACTGTTTAATACTATTAGCAAGTATCTTGTTGAGAATTTTTACATCTATATTCATCAGAGATATAGGTCTGTAGTTTTCCTTTCTTGTTGTATCCTTATCTATTTTGGGAATGAGAATGACGGAGGCTTCATAGAATGAATTTGGAAGGGTTCCTTCCTCTTGGATCTCTAGAAACAGTGTGAGTAGAATGGGGATTATCTCTTCTTAAAAAGTTTGTAAAATTCATCAGTGAAGCCATCAGGACCTACCATTAACGTATTAATAGAGGGCACCTCCTATGTCACAATACTAACCATGCCATATTTACAACACTTTAAGAATAGCTTAGGTGTATTTCTGTTTACTCATTTCATGCCCGATATTATGTGGTTTACACTCCCTCTAAACTATGTTTCTTCAGACTAGTATGTCTTTTGGTCACAAAGAGTCTGTGGGCACCTGACATAATCTTGAGAATTCAGTTCTAACAAGCTGACTGGTGATTTTACACATTTTAACAATTAGTAAATACAGAAAATTATATTAGTTTCAATGCATATTATAAGGAACTTTTTGAATCACTTGGTTAAGTGTTATTAAAGAAAGATTCCTTTACTGAAAACTTTTTTTAGGATTTTTAATATGATAATGTCATAAAAAATGATACAGTATTGGAAAAAAAGAGGTGATACATTATCAGGTATTTCAGAAATTTATTTGAATATTTCTCACAAAATACTAATAGTTCCCTCCTCTCTTTCCATAATTTTTTTTTTTTTTTGGAGAGGTTTTTGCTATAGGGCATGTGCGCTCACCAGACAGAGAGAGACATAGAGACAGAAAGTGAGAAATCACCCCCCAGGGGGGATGGTCACGCCGCAATCCCTTCTCTTCCATTCTCCTCTTGGGATCTTGGGCACGCACGCACACGTGCCCAGCGTAAGTTTTAAGCCACCGGGTCCAGGACGCGAACCGCGGTCGACTACGTGGGAGTCCAGCGACATAGCCATTATGCTAACTGCTGGTTCCCTATCCATAATTTTGATTACTATCTTGTAGGACAAAACTGTTCTAAGGAATACAGTTTGGGAAATATTATTTTACAGACATTTACAAACCTTAGCTTGGACTTTGAAATTTCTATCAATTCCTGACAGAGCTCAGCTCTTATTTCTAGGTAAAATTCCAACTTCATTAATAAAATCATATTAGCCAAATTACCTCTCTGAACCAATGGGGACAATCTGCCACCTCTTATTTTAAACTTCCAAATGATTCTCTTAAGAATTAATGTCTAGTCCACTGTAAGAAAAACTAATTCTTCCCAATGGAAAATTTTCTTCAACTGCCTTGGTTTTTAGTCATGGTAACATAGTTTTCCTATTTCACATGTAAAACAACTCCCATCAGACTAACAGCAGACTTCTCAACAGGAATCTTTCAAAACAGGAGAGAATGAATGGGACAATATATTCGAAATTTTGAAAGAAAAAACTTCCAGCCAAGAATACTAAACTTGGCAGTTTTCCTTCAGAATGGAAAGCAAAATAAAATCTTTCACAAACAAAAGCTTAGCTAATTCACTAATACTAGACTGGCATTTCAAGATTTTTAAGGGAAGCTTATATCTGGAAATGAAAAGAAAGTTATTACCATTGTGAAAATATGCAAAGATATAAAGTCACCAGTAGATCAAGCACACAAATAAGAAAAACACTTGAATCTTACCAACACTGAACACTACTACATAGTAAAGATAAACAGTAACGAAGAAAGGGAAAATGGAAATACAGAATTAGGAAACAACCAACAAAATGACAGTTCCAACTCTGTACCTATCAATAATAACCTTGAATGAATTAAATTCCCCAAGTAGTTGAATAATTTTAGTTTTTTAAAAGAAAAGACCCCACTATATGCCACCTCTAAGAAAAATCTATTCATCTGTAAGACATACACAGACTGAGAGTGAAAGGTTAAGAAAGGTATTCCATGCAAGTGGAAACCAAAAACGAGCAGGAGCACATACTGATATCAGGTGAAAAACATTTCAAGCAAAAAATTTGTAAAAAGAAACAAAGATGGCCATTACATAGTACTGAAGGCATCCATTCCGTGAGAGGACACAACAACTGTAAATACATATACATCTAATACCAGAGCACCCAAATATAGAAAACAAATACTGCTAGACCTAAAAGGAGCAATAAACTCTAAAACAGTAATTATTAATTTTCTAAAAAAATCACTAAAAGAATAGGCTACCATTTGGGTCTCATTGCTGAGTTTTAGAATTGAGTTTTATTATAATTTGGTCTAATTGAATAGTCATTTTCCAGAAGGATGATGATTTGAATGAAATTTGTTTTCTAGTCAAATATAAGAGCAACCCAAACTATCTTTTGCTTGAGATGGTATAATTAAACAAAAAGAACCTTGAATGCAATGTTCTCAGATGGGAGATAGGAGGACAGCTTAAACTTTCTGACTAATACTTAAAAGTCCATTTAGGACTGAAAAATAGCTGGGCTCATGGGTCCACTAGGCAGGGGTTCTTAATCTCTGGGCTGTGGATTGGTCTGGTCATGCCCTGTTGGTGTCCCCCACCCCCACTGCAGAGGATGGGCAATCAGCAAGGAAGTGAGGCTTTGTGTTTGTAGCCCCTCCCCATCACTCACATTGCTGCCTGGGTTCTGTCTCCTGACTGATAAGCAGCAGTATTGAATTTTCATGAACACTATTGTTGTGTGAATGTTTCCTTACATATTGCAATGTGGTAGTGCTAAAAATGGGGTGCATGGTGGATGTGGTGTGTTTGGGTCATTCCAAGACCAAATGTACTACCCCCTTACCTCCTTAACCTTCATCTACCTCTTGTCCATGGAGGGATTATCTTCCACAAGGCCAGTTCCTGGTGCCCACTGGAAATTTTGGGGGCTGCTATTATAGAGGACAGAATCCTAACACCCCTCCACTCCCCAGCTAATTGTGGTTGGGGACAATTGTTTCCAAGATATGTGGATAATATAATACGTAATATAAAGAAAGAGCAGAAGATTAGCATGTCTTCTCTGTCAAGTAAATGAAAAGCTTTGCTTAGATGTATACTTTCATGGTAGTGCTTGCTCATACGATGCAATCAGGCTCATTGTACATGGCAACTACGGAAGAAGGAAAAATTTGTGTCAGGAAGATCAAAAACTGCTACTATTTGCTGTTAACAATTCTTCAGACACACAGAATTTTGCCTATATATTGAGTAGTCGAGAAAGTCATGACACACTTTTGCATAGAAAAACATAAAAATACTTTGTGACTTTCCCAACAACCTAATATTTATATATATACTGTGAAAAAAAAATATGTGGTAGAATCCATTAAAGGTAATGTTACCTGACAGTTATATTGAGCCTTATTGAATCAGCATTTTCTTATATTAAGTGACATTTTAGGGAGCATATTTTGATAACAATATATCTAAGTCTGACTGTTTTAATGGCATCCTATTATAACACTACAAATATCATTATCAGTCATTGGCGTCTATAGAAGTTTGTGATCTAAACAGATTAATAATACTATTTGCTTGTGCAGTTATTTATTTTAGTAATTTTATAACAAATATACAGGTAAAAAACTGTGTATAAAGAAATAAACACAAATCTATATAGAAAGGATCACAAATGAATCTTAATGCTACAATTTACTTCTGTGAAAGAAATGAATCTCATTCATTTTCAAAAGGACATATTAGATAAGAAATTCAACTAGTTTTCCAAATCCTGCTTTGATTTCTCAAATCAGTGCTTCAGAAATAGTTACCACTGCTTGGATTTAATAGATGAGTCAAATGTCTAACAGGTTTGTATGGCCATTCCTAAAACTGAAATATGAAATATAATCTATATTTATAATGCATTTTTTTGGAGAGGTTTTTCATTATAGGGTGTGTGCGCTCGCCAGACAGACAGAGAGAGACATAGAGACAGAAAGTGAGAAATCACCCCCCGGGGGGGATGGTCAGGCCGCAATCCCTTCTCCTCCATTCTCCTCTCGGGATCTTGGGCACGCACACACACGCGCCTGGCATGAGTTTTAAGCCACTGGGTCCGGGACGCTAACTGCAGTTGACTATGTGGGAGTCCAGTGACATAGCCATTATGCTAACTGCTGGTTCCCTTTATAATGAATTTTGAAAACCGTTGCCTACAGTGTCTCTTTCCCCACATACATAATTGCATCTAGCTTAGAAAGACTCGATTCTGAGGGGCTGCTTGTCTTTATTTATTTACCATATTTTATTGAGAAAATAGTTCTGATTTTCTTGAATTGTCTTTATATTCAAGGTAGTTGGAAAATAACTAACGATTTACATCTATTCCTGTTTCGGAAGCTGTTTTATTTTATTTGGGTTTTCTTTCCCCCCCCTTGTTTTCTGTTCTTCCTTATGCTTCTTGCTTGCTTGCTTCTGTCCTTCCTAGACTCAGTTTTGTTCCTAGTTCATATCCTCTCTGGATATGGTCAGAATCATCAGTGGTGGAAAATATGACTGCCGGGAAGTCTGCCTTCATTTTGAAAGCCAAATATCTTGACAACCTTTTCATTTATGCTCTTGTCAGAGATGGCATGGAACATTTAAGCTTTGTTATTCATTTTGGACATTTAACTCTGAACAGTGTGGAAGATGAAATCCAGAAACTTCATACTGGAAAAAAAGACATATTTCTTTACAATGCATGTCTTTGAAAACTATTCTTTCAGAAATTGTAGGGTTATGATTTTTTTTGAGAACTATAAAATGTATGCCTAGTTTATGTGAAAAATGAACTATTTGTAGACAATCGGCCAGTTAGAGAAAGCCTAGCAGCCATAAATGTGACCTTCACATTCCAATATTTATGAACAATTCTCTCAAAGTTTATCATGACAAGTGACAGGAACTACTTAAAAATAAGCACCTTTTAAAATAACTTTCCAATTCTGCAATTCTGAGAGCTCCGTGACTCAGGAATTCTCTCTCTCCTGTGGTCCTTGATAAACAAATGAGTACACTGAGGTTGATACTCAACCTTAGTGTGGTTCTTTGAAACTGCCTGCGGACAAGTCTAAAAGAATGTGAAAAAATATACATTGTGGGCTGGCCCCATATCTTTTTTTTTTCTTTTTTTGAGAGGTTTTCGCTATAGGGCATGTGCGCTCGCCAGACAGAGAGAGACATAGAGACAGAAAGAGAGAAATCACCCCGCAGAGGGGATGGTCACGCCGCAATCCCTTCTCCATTCTCCTCTCGGGATCTTGGGCACGCACGCACATGCGCGCAGCCTGAGTTTTAAGTCACCGGGTCCGGGACGCGAACCGTGGTCGACTACGTGGAAGTTCAGCGACACAGCCATTATGCTAACTGCTGGTTCCCCATATCTTAATGGTTAAGAAAGCCAGACTTTACATGGCTCACTCCAGTTCAAATCTTGGCCCCAGCAGCTTGAAAAACACGCCATGGCATGTGCATCATGCTCAAAATCCCAACAGGATGGAGAAATGTAGAATGCAGTGTAACTATGCCCCATTAGGGGCCCTTTCCCGCTCTCTCTCTCTCTCTCCCTCTGTATCTATGGTAAATGTATATGTCCTCCAGCAATAAAAATATATACAAGGACACACACACACACATACAAAATGTTTTATTCCTTTGGTCACTGGTATGAGAACTTGAAGCTAAATAGATTGGTACTGAGCAAAGATTCAAAGCAACAGCTAGGTACTGCATGTTCTAATGTATTTTCTATTTATACAATGCTGTGAAAATATTTCTAAAGAAACACCAATCTAACTACTTTTTAATTGGAAATACCTTCATTAACACAATCGTATTGAGACAGGGAATAATAAATACATTCTTTATTTTTCATTGGAACTTCTTATTTTAATTAGCTTTCTCATTTTCCTCAAAAGAGATGTGCTTGCCAAAGTAGTTCTCTAGGATTATGAGACGTGTGCTTCCATTGGAGACAAAAATAAGACACAAATGATTAAAATGTGACCTTTTCTATCTCCTCAGATTAAACCCAAAACATCTGTTCACCCTGATTACCCGTCCCTGCATCTTTTCCTTCCTGTAAGATCACGAGTATTCTCCCGGCACCTTGGAGCCTAGACGATTGCTCTCTGACTCTCAGTTTGTGTTTCTGTATTCTGTTCTAGGAGATAGGCAAGGCTGCCAGGAAGCATGTTTGAGACAGCACCAATTCTTTCTATTTAAGGTGAATGAAAGAAGATGGAGGTAAAAGCAGCCTTGAAGAGTCCACTCCCGAAGATACTGGAGGTAAAAGCAGCCTTGAAGAGTCCACTCATCTTGTAACAAGATTCTATCTCTTGTCCTACTGAAATCTGGGTTGCCTTCAGAAACCCAGCTCGTTACCTAGAGATGTGAGAAGTCTTGATTGACCTGTCCTCCTTCCGCAGCTAATAGAACTGTCAGCTTTCCTGTCACTCAACCATCACCAACCCTCCAATATAATAAAGACCTTGAAGGTAATATGGGAAATAGAGCATCTCAAGGGTATAACCTTCTCAAAAATGAGACTGCTTATTGAACCAAATACTCTACTTGAAATGTTTGAACTCACAGCAAAGGGGAATGAACATGATACATGATAGCCTTGGTTTTTAAATTAGTATAATATTCTTCTCATCTCAGCATGTTCCTAACACTTCAATCTATGATTGTCCCAAGTGTAGCAATGGAAAATTGATCCTGGCAAGGTCAGAAAAATATAACTCAGAGGAAGCCATGATTTGTGTGTGTGCTGGGAGTTGTGTGTGGATGACAAGAGTTAATTGTAAGGTGCTTTTTCTGTCTATAAGAAAACTAAAACTCAGGTTTCAGTAAATAATTGTTAAATTGTATTCAATTCATTGAACCAGGCAAAATAAATTGAACCTTTGATCTTGGCATTGTTTTCTCTGCTGAGGTTAGAGACAGAAGATGTACTGACATAGAACATTAACGCTAGCAAAACATCCACATTCTCCCATACTCCCTTGCAGTTGTGTTTGAGCCAAGAGACTAAGTTTTGACTAACGAGACCTGAGCAGAAATAATGTAAGCCATTTCCATTCTTGACCCCTGAAAATATCTCACATAATTCTCCAGGTCTCTCTTCCCTTGTTTTTGCCCTTGGAGGCAACATGATATAACTATGAAGTAAGACCAACCTGGATTTCTGCTTAAGGGAGAACTATCCTATTGAGCTAGTCAATCAAGTTAGACTTTGAATGAGTAAAAATAATTTTCTACTTTATTAAGCTCCTGGAACTTTGGGATTTGTTATCATAGTGCATATGATCCCAGTAGTTCTCAAAGTATGGCTCCCATATGGCAGCATCAGCATATCCTGGGAATTTGTTGGAAATGCTTATTCTTCAACTCATATGAGATCTGTTAGATCAGAAACTCTGAGTGGCTCAGATCTTTCTCTGTGTAACAAGCCCTCCAGGTGATTCTGATGAACACTGAAGTTTTAAGAACCATATGTCTAACCTACTTTGTTAATATGGACATAGTCCTTGATCTCAAGAATCTTATAGTCTAATAGACAGATACCCTTATATCCTAACCTCTTCTCAGTTATCCCAAGATTCTCTAGTCTTCACTGAGACTTGAAACCAGGCTCTCTCCTGATGACAGGGCATCCATTAAAGTGGTACTACTCTTTAACCGCTTACCTGCCATCTTGTGGTTTAGACAGAATTGAAGTTCTTTATGCTTCTTATAACTAAGCACTCCCTCACCTTCTTAGAAGTCTGTTTCTTTGAAGCCCATGTCATTCAGGTCTATTAGCCACTTTCTTTCCTGGTTATGTCATCTGGCAAATTCTGGGTCTCTTTTATTTGTAGATAATTTTGACACTCAGATCACAGCCTTCACCTCCATCATAAATACAGATAATTTTGATGTACATTTATACATATTTAAATCTCTCTTATGTAAAATAATTTACAGAATCTCACATATTCACCATAAGTTTCTATCTATTTCCCCTCTATCAAATCTCAACAATTTATTGAAAGAGTTGTCTATAATTATTATTTCCATTTCTTTACCCCCTCAAACCCGTAGTCTTAATTCTGCCAAAATACCTTTCGTGAAGGTCACTGATGT